TCCTGTCTGCTTCTAGCACAGAGTGCAGACACTTTTGCATTAAAAATCTTTGCTTCCTTTATCAGCACCATTTCTGCAATTGGTCTGCTAGGGTTGTAGGCTCATGAGGGAAACTCTCCCTTCCTGCATCAGATCAAAATACATGTAATTTAATGAGACCTTGGCAAAAGTTTTTTTTTACCATTATTTTATCAGGAATCTTGCAGAAATCCACCAGAGCACAAAACCATCTATTGGCTCTTTTCCAAGTCCTAGTCAATTTCATGATTTACTTCCTTGCTTGCCTTGCTGGTAAACAGTCCCCCGCCCCCAAAAGGCTGTTTCATGTGCTGTTGAAGTAATTGCTTGTTCCCTAAAAAATTGTCCTGCAGTTATAAGCTGCCTTTCGTTTTCCCCATCAATGCCTTCATGATTGTTGCTCCTTCTGCTGATCTGTTGTTAGCAGTCAGATATGCATGTGGGTTTACAGAGGATTACACAAATGTTATTGGGCACGGAAATAAACTGGTATGTGTATGTCTATGTGCATATATGTACAGTATATCACAGAAGTGAGTACACCCTCACATTTTGTAAATATTTTATTATATCTTTTCATGTGACAACCCTGAAGAAATGACACTTTGCTACAATGTAAAGTAGGGAGTATACAGCTTGTATAACAGTGTAAATTTGCTGTCTCCTCAAAATAACTCAACACACAGCCATTAATGTCTAAACAACTGGCAACAAAACTTCAGTCCTAGAGGAGATCAACCCCGACTGTTCTTTAGAAGGCCAGATACTGAAGATGAAACTGAAATACTTTGGCCACGTAATGAGAAGGAAGGACTCCCTGGAGAAGAGTCTAATGCTGGGAACACTAGATGGCAAAAGAAGAAGGGGACGGCAGAGAATGAAGAGGCTAGATGGAGTCACTGAAGCAGTTGGTGTGAGCTTGCGTGAACTCTGGGAGATGGTGGAGGACAAGAAGGCCTGGAGGAATGTTGTTCATGGGGTCGCGATGGGTCGGACACGACTTCGCGACTAACAACAACAACAAGAGCCAATGTTGGCAGGTGGCATTCTCTTGTAGAAGGGTATCTTCCTCTGCAGAACTGGAACTGTAGTGAAATCAGCTCTAAATTGGAGTTAATTGATCAATGAAATTGGAGCATATTCACATAGGAATAAAAACTGTTCCGAAGAAGAAAACACACTTTTAATTGTGCGTGCCCATGCTGTGGCTGCAATTATCTTAGGTGAGTCATTCTTTCCTAGGGTATGAGAGAAAGAGGTATTCCCTTCTAAAAGAAAATGTATGTAAGTACTTAAAAATGCTGCCAGGTTATATGCTGCCAGCTTGAGCAATGACCTTTCTCAACAATGATAATAATATTTCATTGCTATACTGCTCCATAGTTCTTTAAAAATATATCTAACACTGTAAACGGTGCTGCTCCAGATTTTGGACCTTCCATGGCAAAGCCACCCTCCATGGGCCACCTCTCTTGGTGTGTCCATAACCTCATTTTTCACAGTCAGCACCTGCTGCTCCTCCTCACATTCTCTCCCGTCATTACTATCCCTTACATGACTGGCAGAGAGGCAGTGAAGAAGTCGGCAGTGGCACCTCCTCCCCAGTATTACCATTGCTTTGGCCAGAGAATGGAATGGAATGAAGTAGAGTTTGGAGGGGCCTCCAAGGCCATTGAGTCCAACCTCATGCTCCGCTTCTACATGTGGTCACCCATCTGGCTACTGGCCTGTGCCTTTCCAGCTAAGCAAAGGTGACATGACATGCTAGTCCATGTATAGCTATGTGGACACGTGGAGTAATAGTTTGCAGTGAGGAGGAGGAGGGGCAACTTCAGGAAACTCTTGGAGTGGCTCCTGGTGGGGCATGGCTCCTTGGAAGGTGCCTAGCCATGCTTACCCTTAATGCTGGCCCTGACCCTATACCTTTTGCACTTTTATTTATTTGCATGATGTATCTTGGCAGCAAAGTTTAGGGTATGTGGACTGCAGAATTGTACAGTGTGCATTTTTAATTTTAACAACCAAAGAGTGCTGCTTTCTGAGAAATTTAGAAGTTTTGTCCTATTCATAACTGCCAAGTTTTTAAACACGGAATCAACTAATTGCTTGCTATCCATCTACTCTCTTGCAGTCAATGGCAGGCTTTAGTTAACACCCGCCTGACAAACCAGCTGGTGCCGCAACGTACAGGCAGCCTGCAGTCCACAGGGACTATTTTGACGTTGCCTTGGTAGGTGAACTTGGGACTTCACAAACATGAAAGATGGAGAATAGCAATACACCAAGGAGGCAGAAAGTTCCAACAATAACTGTTCTCTGTAATGTTCTGTAAGTTGTAGCACTAAATAATAAAGTTCTATATTTAGGGGAACTTGTTTTTAATATCCAGAATCACAATGCATTCTAGATTCATAAAGGTAAACCCAGTGAAGATAGGATTCTGCAGACAGAACACAGTTTATTGTAGCCAAAGGGTAACAAAGCAAAATCTCTCTGGAGCCTATACTTCGAACAAAAAGGAAATGGTTCCTTACAAGATGCATTTCAAAATGCAGTGAGGTGGGGTAGAAAGGGATCATATAGCTGAAACACGAGCACACTTCAGCATCCTTCACAAGCCCTTGAATATGCTCTTGCTACAATTTATGAATGTTCTCTATCCATCCCAACCTCTGCTTTTTATTACACGGATTAGCTCATCAGCGGTCCTGCAGGGAGATGTTGCTGACTCATTACCATATTACACACAGGCAAAGCTGGTGAACCTTTGTCCCTCTGGGATGCTGAGAAAGATCGCAGGTGCTTATGCATACTCTTTGAAGGAGATTCTTATATTACAATGGCTGTATCTCATAGCTATTGCAAGGATAATTTGACTTTTTCTGAGCAGCCACATTTTTCTTATTTCTGTATTCATAAAAATGCAGTTACATTCTGGAATAAATCTACAGCAGGCCTTCCTCAAACCATTGTGTGTGTGTGCGTTGCTCATTTCCCATGTTGTTGTCCTTCAACATCTGTGTCCTCCAATTTTATGTTTTCACATGACTGCAGCTGAGTGGGAAGAAGGCCACTGCCTTCAGCTGTGAAACTGCATGCTGTTATGTAAAGCAAACAGACACAGCTTCAACCCACAGCTGAGTACTGAGAAAAGGGGGCTGGACTGTGCCTTGTTTAGCACGTAAGCTCATACTGCCCTTTCACATGCACAAAACCAATCCAGCACATACGCTTGTGTCTGTATTTGATACCCAAATGCCACTGAGACACCATATACCCTCCTAAAAATGGCAGTTTTCATCCATTTTCATAAAGGTTTCCAATGATGAGCACACATGGTACTCCGTCAGGAAACTATTCCCTAGAAGTAGAACTAGTATATACAGAAGTTGATTAGCAGCGCAATCCTATGGGGGGAGACTGAACAAAAGCTAGGGAAACAGCAACTGATTGGTTGGGGGAATAGAGTAGGGCCCAGTAGAAGGGGCCATGGCCATCCAATGAACCCTGGAAGGCTAGGCTGAGACCCTGGGAGGCCTGGGGCCTTCTCTTCTGTTATACAGGGTTACACTATATGTTTCATTTGCACTTCTATCAAACTTAGGACTTTTTTTTATTATTGGCTAGAGAAACGGGACTTGGCATAGATTTAAATATGTTTTTTCAGTTATCATAAATAGAAAAAGAAGGGTGTGGGGGCTGACCCAGTGGGCTCGATGTTTTTGATGTTGGATGTTGTTTGTAGTTTTTTTGGGGGGTTTTTTTTAGGATAATCCCAAATAAAACTTTAAAAAAAACCCTGTATGTTTGATTTGCCTCTGATGCATGATGAACCCTGACTGTGTATTTGCACTGCAAAACCATTTTAATAATTATTCTGTCATCTCAGATGGGGAACAAGTGGCTGGAGAGCGGCACCTGTGGAAGGGATCTCAGGGTACTTGTCAACAGCAGGTTGAACATGAGCCAGCAGGATGATGGGGTGGTTAAGAAGGCAAGTGCCACCCTTGGATGTATAGCCAGAAGCATGGCTTCCAAGTCTAGGGAGGAGTCGATACTGCTGTACATGACTCTGGTGCACCCACAACTGGAGTACTGTGTCCAGTTCTAGGCTCCACATTATAGGAGAGATGTAGCTAGGTTAGAATCGGTTCAGCGCAGGGTCACAAAAATGGTAGCTTTGTAGGGAGGGATGACATATGACAAGAGATTGAGGGAACTGGGTCTTTTTCAGCCTGGAGAAGAGGAGACTCCACGGGGAACTTTTAGCAACTTACAGGTATGTGAGGGGATGTCATGTGGAGGAGGGCTGTGACCTGTTCTTCCTTGCAGTGGAGGGCAGGATGCATTCCAATGGGGCAAAGCTCAAGGAACCAGGCTTCAGGTTGGATGTCAGGAAGTACATCCAACAGTTAGAACCCCTAGGATATGCAAGTGGCTTCCAAGTGAGGTGGTTGAGGCCCCATCAGTGAGACTGTTCAAGGAAAGACTGGACAACCACATGCTGGGGATTAAATGAGCAGAGCCAGGGCTCAGACTAGATGGCCCGGGAGGCCCCTTCTGACTCGCTTTTTTCCTATGTTTCTATCTCATCAGGTAAACTTGCGAATGATAGTTCTATGATAGGAAATCTTCCATATTTCCCATGATTCTTTGTGGAAGCTACAATTAAGCTTCTTGTTTATTTACTCCACCCATTGACAAATTTTCTTCCCTGGTTCTTCCTGTTTGTGTTATTTATTATAAATGCCAAAATAATTTTTTAAGGTTAGGAGAACATTATATAACCATATATGGTTCACACCTAGGAAAAATAAATCTATTTATTAAAGTATAATATTTATCAATGTCTGTGAGAACCTTTCTAGAATTGATGAAAATTATTTTTTGTAATACTGTAGAGAGTAGAGAGAGAAAAAATCACTTCGATTGCAACCACTAAAGAACAAGAAATTTTTTACAGAACAGTTTGAGTTAACAGGTTTCTTATAATAATAATTTTAATATATCAAGCAAACAACAGAGAAGAGTAAGAAAACACTTGTGGTGACAACATCTTTCTGAACAAAGGGAGTTCTGGTTCATATATTTTCCCCACATATATGGCAGAAGCATTTTTCTATCCCCTGCCTTGAGCAATAAAATAATTTTATCCTCAAAATCAGGAAAGAAATGCTAATACAATGAGATGGTCATTAACTTGATCTACCAGGTAGACCGTGAAAGGTGGATTATAATAACTGTCAAGTTGTTAATACTTTTTTTTTGGTTAGAAGACATAATAGGTAGCACATTTAAATCTATGGTTAATGATACTATTGCTCAAACACTGGTATAAATGTACAACCCATAGCCAAATCCTGAAATATAATGAATGAGAAACACACTGCAGAATTCCAGTATGCTGAAGAGTAATGGCTATTAATGGTATGAGCTCAATCTGGTAGAAATAATCATTTTTGACTGCAGAGACAATGGACTTCTCTTGGGCTTCAGCTGCTTTAGGGGTAGCCTGTATTCAGGGTTTATGCAAGAAAATCTCCTCTTTTGTTATGTCAGGACTACGTGGCTATTTTTACTTCTGCTGCTAGTCTAGTCTAGCATTGATAAAAAAAAACAGAAAATGAGGACAGTCCCTTTTAAAAAGGAAGAAAGATACTATATTGCCTGCAACCATGCACATGCATACACAATTGATATAATTTTTCTGCTTTGATCATTTTGGGAAGACTGCTCTGCAATATGGCACATAAACCAGACATTTCAGTATTTAAAGGACACTGAGATGTGATCGAGTCTCTCTGGGCTTGTGAATTCAAAGCATTGTGAATGCTGTTAGGGGTAACAAAATATCTGGTGACACCAGTATATACAGGTACTGTGACAAGTTCATGGCAAAAGATTCTAACAATACACAGCCAGTAGTGTATCATTTGCAATATAGCGAAGGTAATGGCTGGGTTTATATGGTGTCACCACCCACAGTGGGTGTCACGATGTGACTTGTGTGAACCTGAACCAATTCCCACAGGATGACTTATCTGAAAACAACAAGCCACCCTGACAACCCATGGGTGTCTGCAGTAGGTGTTGCTGTACACAACTCCATCATGGGTACGTGGAACCAGGCACTGAATATAGGAGCTTCTTGACAAGGGGAGCAAAACCCCATGCTGCTTCTGCCAAGCAGCTTCCAAGTGGCCGCCCCTGCTAGAAACCCAAAGTGTGCCCAAAGGAGCAGCTGGCACTAGCTTTGCCTTCTTCCTACCCTGATCAAAAGCTATTTTGGGTTTGCTGCAGCTTTTTTTCACTTCAAACTTTTTTTCATGAGATCACGAAAGCCAGTGTTTGGAAAAATTACAAAAATGTGTAATGCCTGTTTGGCAACCACAGGCATTCCCTCCAAAATACTGCTGAGGAGCTTTGAAGGGCCTGTCCATAGATGCCACAATGGGGTTCAAAAAACCAGCTGTCAAGCTGGTGGTTGCAATCTCAAGCAAACAAAAGTTTGAACTATAAAAAAGCTGCAATGAGTCTGGAATGGCTTGTACTCACAGTGGAGAGGCACCTTGGTCCTTTCATGAAGTCTCTTGGAATATCCAGAGGATAACCTGATGTCTAATGGACATCTCTGGACACCTGCAGAAGGATCAAGTGAGGAGGACGGGGGGAAGGGGCCAATAACCCATTATGAGCCTGATTCTCATTTCCAGGGTAGGTTGATATAACATGTAAACACACCCAATGTGGGAATGCTCAAAAATGTTTTTTCCTCCTCTATTACCGTGAAATGAATACCTCAGTGGCAAAATTCAATGAATATAGGAAATTAGAACATGCTTGAAATGCAAGAACCATTTCCCATTAATGGTGAAAATCATCTTGCGTTACAAATTAAAAATAATTTAAATAACTGCTTTATTACATGCTGAAAAAAGACCCACAATCTTATTGAAAGACACTACTATAAAGATAATTAGGGTTTTTTAACAAAGGTATTAAAAACCCAATTGGAAATCCAATGTATTTGTTATCTCTGTGGACAGTCATTGCCAATACAGCTTTTCCCATTTGGCTGAGGCAAGAAAACTACTGCAGCTACAGAGCTGATGCAAATTTATTTTTGAAAAATCCATAGGGAGGTTCATGTTACTGGATGCTTTGATCTATGATTTATAATAAGCATACAGAGGCCAATAATTTAGCAGTGTGCTGTCATGAAAAAATAAGTGGAAAAGGAGATGGCAGTTCCTTGCTGCTTGGATGAGAATTATTATATATTTAAATGGTTTTGATGAGTCACCATTCTTTTATAACATTTTTCCAGCTTGAAAGGGCTTACAAAGTGGTACACACAATGTTGACCATAACATTATGCAATGGTGGCCAGATATAAAGACAGTCTAGCCATGATGATGTCCAGTTTTTAATAGGAAAGAAACAAGAAGAAGATGCACTACCTTTGAAGGGTATGATTGCAATCAATGGTCAATATATCCAGTAATTAAGAAAGCAAGATTATAAAATTAGTTTTCAAACAGAGGTTTAGGAATATCCACAAGCAAAATTAGGTTGATCAGATGGTTAGATTAGTGGCAGGCCACAGGGAAAATGTGGCAAATTTGAGTACCAGAGAAAAGGCACAGGGAGACCAGAAATGTACTGCCCTAGGACACTCCTAATTACTGGGCCATGGGTAATGTGCACTGAGCACATCATCCCTAGAGAAGTGTCCTTGCTGCATATTCCCCAATTGGTGTGTGTGGTTTTTTGAAAAGGAAGAAGAAAAATACCAAACATCTTCCTGATAGGAACAAGCATTTTAAAAATTGGGAATATGCAGAATGAATTTAATTTAATTTTAATGTATAATTTATTACTTTTAGTCTGGATCTATTTAAAGTTTTGTTTATTTACCTAATTTAAAATATTTTTGGCTGTTTTTCAGGTAGGAGCCCTCTCAAGGCAGCATCCAAGGAAACTCACTAAACCAATAAAAATTGATGTGATAATAAAAAACAGTAAAAACAGTAACAGCAGCAAACACTGTAAAAAAGAACGAATGCCAGCATAAAATAAAATCTACAACTCACAGTTGCAGCTTCAACCCAGTCTGATAAAACACACTCAAGGGAAGGTCAGAGAAGAGCAGTGTTTTCAAGGCTTGCTTAAAAGCTCGGAATTAAAGCCTCCATTAAAATGGTTTAAATTCTCTTGAATTATTATGGGCCCTACAGTTATAAACACAAGGCACAAATGCTCTTTAGAAGTGTTGAGAATCCATGAAGACCTTGATAGGCAGGTACAACAGAAATCTAGAAACACTTGTTTTTAGCATTGGGTTTTGATCCTGTTGCAAAATCTTTTTCACACAGATTCTGAAACCACAATCCTAGAAGTCTAGAAATTTAAATAAGACAGATACATTCTACCTATGAAATTGGATCCAGATTATACTCCCGCTAGATGGGGTAGTGGTGGCATTTCTGTAGATTGCCCCCCCCCCCCACACACACACACCTCTGCAGCTGCCTAACCCTTCCAAACAAATCTGCTTCTACCTCAGTTGGGGAAGTTCGCAGGAGCTGAAACACCTTCTGCAGATGGAAAGAGTCCTTTTCTTTGTGGAAAGACAAATCTGGAACCAACCCATTAGAAATTATTTTATTTTTTACTGTGCAATACCAAAACCAAACCAAACCACACCACACCACACCACACTATTAGAGTAAGAATAAAAGATGAATAAAATGAACTAAAACATTGTAAGTTTTTGAAAAGAACCGTAACCATAGTTATGGGCACATTTATTTGTTTAAACTTCAAGCCTGAAATGCAGTCACACTTTTCTCTAATGGCTGTGATAAAGAATGTCCATTTTTGTGGACTGAATAGTCCTTATTGAGGACAGATGCTTCCATTATTAATGAAGAGATTAGGACCAAGTACACAGAAATAAAAAGAAAACTACCTAAATGAAGCATTTCATTAATTACAGAAAGAATTAATCCCTACGTCTTTTCTTCAATATTGCCATAACTTTTCCTCAATATTGCTGTAACTGTTAAGTCTCAGAGTTCTGTGAGAAGGCACTATATTACTTATCTTGATTGTTACTGATAGTTTATACTGACAAATCCATTTGACAATTCAAGTTTGTTCATGTAATGAAGAAATCACCCCTTATTATTTCATCATACCCGGGACCCTGAGGGTATGGAATGGGCTTCCACAGGAGGTGGTTAAGGCCCCATCAGTGAGAGTGTTCAAAGACAGGCTGGACATGCACATGGCGGGCATGTTGTGAGAAGATCTGGCTAGAGCCAGGGGTCATACTAGATGGCCCGGGAGGCCCCTTCTGACTCGCTGTTTCTATGTTTCTATATTCCAAAGCAGTGTCTTCCTGAGGTATGCTGCACCCATTCTTGCATCCAGAAATAGAGAGAGAAGAAAGCAACTGAAGGGAGCAGCTTCTCCATAAAATGGAAGGAAAAGCACTTCAACAATGGGCTTAGTCAGGAATGATTTAGAAGTACCGCTATGTAATAGGGGTGTATTTGTATGCAGCTAGAATATATAATACTTTGCCAATCAACATCTGTACAAAAAACCCATATGAGAATATGGTATAATTCTGTTCCTGTATAATTTAGTAGAGCAGGCCAACACTGAATTTCAGCTTTGATTAAAAAAAACACAAGAGAGAGAGAGAGAATAACCCTGAGGCTCAAATTAGGGTGATTAACATGTCCATGCATATTAGATTGTGAACTCCACATTGTATGCATAATTAGAAGTTAAGTAGACTGAAATATAATGCACCAGCATATTTTTATTTATACCACCAATGCACATGCCTGTTCTCATTTAAAAGGATATTCACTCAGGCATTGCTGGAAACACAACTGGATTCTATCAAGACTGAAAATGAAGACCTTTCCTACGAAGTCATGTTATCCTCACCATCTTCAGCAATTAAAGCAAATCAGCACACAGAGTTAATCCAACCCTTCAGCAAAAAACTGTGGAATTCACATTGTCTTCCACCAGGGGGCATGATCTGCTATTTAGCTGAGGAGTGCTGTTTTTAAGACATGGATGCCTCAATATAATTTGACAGAATTTATATGAATATTCAAAGTCTCAAAAGGATAATTAAGTTTTGTCTTCTTCTACAGTTCTGGAGGGGTGCAGGCCTTGAATATATTAAGCAAGGTCCAGAGAAAGCAGTGCTGTTAAAAAAAGTAAGGGGATTTTCCTTCATCTTTATATTGTGACGTATTAATGGATGGAAGCAGAAAACTGAATGTCCTTACCTGAAAATATAAATCTGGTATGGAGACACGTATAAGTGCAAAAGACTAATGTCCCTTCATGTACTGAAGTAAGAAATGCTCACAGAATGAATGCTGCTTAAAACAAGAACATTAATCGTCTGTCCTGACTCAGCCTATTTGACATACAATGTAAGATTCTGAGTCGATACACAATGTTACTCCAAAATAGACCATTCTTGAACAATGTGACACATCATTAATGCTGAGCAGTCCCTTGTCTGAGAAATGTAGAATTACACACCTACTGTGATCGATAAGTAATTATGAACGTGAACAGATGTTTACAAGCACTCTTACATTTCTGAGCAAATCAATTCCTTCTCTGTCCTGGCAGAACTGTGAATGATGGCTGAAGAGAGGAGATAAAAATCAATCAATAAGCACTGTATGTCACAGGTGAGAAAAGCATTTATCGAGTCTACCTAATTTCCAGGAGCACTAAGAGTGTGAATTTATTATGAACTAGGGAAATAACTTGACAAAGTGTCTACAAGTATAATACTTCTATAAAGCTCTTTAAAAGTAATCATATTCTGTTCTGGTAAGTCAAATTTAATTCACTTAAGTATTGATTTTTTGTACTCATGTCACCATTGTTCACATCACGTCTTTGCTGGTATTTAACATAGAAACTGCCCACCTGCATACCAAATACGTCTGAAGTGTGGCTCAGGTGTACCTTTCAGCTTATTAGAAAACACAGCTTGTACTGAACTGGTTGCAGATCAAGATGGCACAATAGAACATACAAATTGATTTTTCAGATCAAAGACAGATGTGCTGCTCTGACACACAGTTATATCACCATACTAGCTTTCAACTTGTATGATGTTGTAAATAAAATATTAGCAGTTGGATTGACAGGATAAGACCCAGATCAACTTGTATTTGTGTACCTTCAAATGTGAGGACCTAAGAAACAGTTATAGCAGCAATGCAAAGTCTCTTAATAATCAGGTATTTTATCAAGTATACTCAGCATTGTTCCTTGCTAGTTTTCAGCTTTAGTCCTTTTCAATCCAAATCTTCTCCATGCTCTCTGAAATGCCACTTGTCCCATGAGGAATGTGATGACAAAATTCCGTCTGTACCAATCCCTACATTTCAGACCCAAGGAAACAAAGCAGTAAAAACACAATTAGCCATCCTGAAATCATTACTTACAGAAAAAAAGATTAAGATTTTGAGAAACTCCAATCAGCACATTCTCTCTCTCTTCTCTCTCTCTTGAGCAATTAAACCAAAATCACTGAAAAACAGTTTTATTTCTAGTTTTTAAAATGCATGGACAAAAAGCTATCCCACCATGTAATCCATATGAGGTGAGACTAGAGGAACTGACTGGGTCTTTTCAGCCTGGAGGAGACTCCAAGGGGATCTGTTGGCAACATATAGGTACCTGAGGGGGTGTCATGCAGAGGTGAGTAGAGACCTGTCTTCCCTGTGGAGGAGGGTAGGATGTGTACCAATGGAGCAAATCTTAGGGAACCAAGGCTCAATTTGGATGCCAGGAAGTACTCCCTGACAGTTAGGACCCTGAGGGTATGGAATGGGCTTCCAGGGGAGGTGGCTGAAGCTGGATCAGTGAGGTTGTTCAAGGATAGGCTGGACATGCACATGGTATAGGCATGTCATGAGCAGAGCCGGCTGGAGCTCAGGAGGCCCCTTCTGACTCGCTCTGTTTCTATGTGTATATTACATAGAAACCCTAACCCTAATCCTGCACTGCAGAAAGACTTTCAAAGAAATCTGATCACTAATCGTATCTGTAATTATATGTCATAATAACAGATGGGTAATTCTATTTAAAAGGGTGTTTATCATATATAAGAACTAAAAGAATTTGTGAATAATTAATATTTGGGCCAGCATATCAAATGGTTTGATCTAAGGAAATGTATTCATTCAGGAAATTCTTCCTGTGAAATAATTGGCAGTCAGGCTTTTCGCTAAACAACAGAGATGTACCAGTAGAACCCGACCTACCTCCTGCCCATCCCTGAGCTACAGGAAATGCTTCCTAAATTTGTGGCCATTAGGCTGGATCCAGACCTGGTTACTCATGCTTGAGTCCCACTGAAATCAACAGGATTTAAGTTACTCCCCTAAAAGACGGGATCAACATCTATTAAGAGTGCAATCCTATGCACGCTAGCTTAGACATGCAGTGAGTTGCAGGACATTTCTCCTGCCTAAATATGTGTAGGATAGTGGTATAAATATTTGCCTTTAAAAAAACTTGGAGTAAAGTATGACTAACCCCCATTTCAATCCTATCCATTATAATTTGAAAATTCCAATTAAATATTGCTGAGATTTATGCCGAAATAAATTTGTTACTTTTTCATGAATGCTAAACTTTAAAAAGAAAGTTTTTTTTTACTGCAGCTTTTTTTCTGTGACTAAAAGCAAGGGTTTCATTGTTGTGATCAAGCCCAATTGCTGAAAATTATTCAACATTTCTATATAAATATATGCATGTATATCTAGCAAAATCAGTCAACAAGTAATTTGTGAGCTATTTATCTAAACACTGGTATACTTACAATTTACTGCTTTCTGCTATGGAATTTAAATTCTGATTTTTTAAATTGTTACTTTGTTGCTGTTTTGCCTTATCCTTTTGTAGGCTAAATCTGACTTTAAAAAATCCAACACAGCAGTCCCATGTATGTCTAATCAGAAATAAGTAATATTAAAATTCTAAATAACTTATTGCCAGATGTGTATAGGACTGCAACCTAAATAAATAAATACTATCTTAAAATATGGCCAAGAATTTCTTGGTTAGCATTTAATGTTACTCCCAAACCTTTTAATTCCCTTTTGTCCTATTCAGATGCAAGCCTGTGGATAGACTTACGTCTTTTTAATTTTTGTATGGAGCCAAGTATAAAAACAGACCAACTGTAAATAATCAATGATGAAACAAAGATGTTGATTCTTAGTGGAAAAAACTTGTACAATACATGTAAAACAATTACTGGACTGGGTCCAGTTGCAAACACAGTACGTTTGGTAATATTTAAGCTACATTCTGAAACATTTTTACAGGACATTATAAGCAACTGCAAAATTATGCATGCTGAGACAAAAAATTCCAACTTCAAGTATACAGTGATGGGATCTGAACTAGCAGTGACTGGAGAAAAAGGAATCTTGGAGTAGTGGTGGACACCTCAATGAAACTGTCAACCCAGCACTCAGCTGCTGTGAAGAAGGCAAAGCCCATGCTAGGCATCATTCGGAATGGAACAGAAAACAAAACTGCTAAAATCTTACTTCTCTTAAACAAATTCTTGTGGTGATTGCAGTTAGAGTATTGTGTTTAGCTCTGTTCATGTTATCTGAAATAGGACATTGTTCAGAAGGTGACGAGAAAAGGCAACAAAAGTGATCAGGGGGCTGGAGCAGCTTTGACAACTGGAATCATGTGGCTTTCAAAAAGGCCAGCAAGGGGAGACAGGATAGATGTGCTTAAAATAATGCCTGGTGCAGAGAAAGTGTATTATATTTTGTATAAAGGATATTTTAGTTGTATGTATTGAACCACTGTTGTAATCCATCCAGAGACATGTAGATTGGACGGGTTAAGAGATGCCCCAAATATAAATAAATAAATATTTGAACGTAGGCCTGACTGCATTCGTAATGGATCCAGAGACCACGTGCTGCTTTGCTCTCGTTTCTTTGTATCTACCTTTCTCCTGCCTCAACTTTTCATACCACTGGTCCACAGACCAGCACCAGTCCACTGGCATTTCCTGCCGGTCCCCGAAAGAGCAGCTGCTGCGCCCTGCATGCACGAAAGCCACATCCCGCTAGCCAGGACCAGCGTGGGGCCTTCTGTGATCTCCCTGCCAATCCCCTGCCTCCTCATCCACCCAGGAGGCCCAGGAGAGGAGAGTCTGCTGGGAGCCCCCACCCCAGTCTGCCCTTTTTCTGCTGGGAAGGGAAATGCTGAAGCGGGATTGTGCTGAGTTTTTTCTCAGCCAGTCTGTGCTGGTGTGTATGGGGTTGGTGGGGGGTTATTATTATATTTCATTAATTAACATTATGACTATTATTAAGTAGCTTTGATTTTGTACTGCTTTGCTGTTAATATTGTGTTTGAATTTCTATTTGCTATGGTATAACATGGCATTCATATTGATTCTGTATTTTGCTATTGTAAATTTTTGATCAAGTATTCTTGAAAAGAAGCAACAACGGATTTTTCAGTAGACCTATCAGAATTACATATTGCTCTCTAAAAATTTCAGTTGTATTTGATTACATTTAATTTCAATGTTTTATTCTTTTATTAGCCTTTTTTACTGCTCGGTTTCTGGTTATTTTAGAGAATTTTCATTTTTTGTATTATATTTAAAAATGAATACACAAAGTACTCTATTATGTATGTAATGCTTTTTACTTCTACCTCAGCGGTCTCCAAAATAATTTTCATATTTTTGCCGGTCCCCAACTATAAAAGGATTGAAGACCACTGCCTTATACAACCTATATACACATCACCCCAGAGCTAAGTCCAGGTTATGTCAATTTGAGTGTATTTCAAGGTTACACACACAAATAAACAACATGGATGTTAATCTTTTCTAATCGTCACTCAAAATAATAGTAGTTTTTAAACTTCGCTGGTTTAAATTGCAGTCCGGAAGGACCACTAAATAAAGGTCACCCAGAAAGTGAAAGAAAGTGCTATACAAAAAACATGGTAAATTGCAAAATAAACTAGTTTAAAAGGATTTAAACCTCTGAGGCTGGAAAAGAGCTACAGCCTCAGAGTTCTGAATTCACACTTAGAGCCCCCTCCCCACATTGCAGCCACCATGGCAAGAACCACACTGGTTACATATCCAAGGTTACAACAGTGACTATGGCAGAAGGTATAAAGAAGACATTCTAGGGAGCAGGGAACCAGATCTGCCAGGATACCGTATACCTTGGTGGTATTCCAGTCTCCCTTCCTCTTTGTCCAAAATGTCTTAGCTGGGCACTTTGCAGGGTGGGGGGAATGCAGAGGCAGCAAACACCTGCTCTCACCCTACACAGAATTCTTGTAACCTTGCGTTTGGGAGCTTGCATCCTTAATGCAATACTTTTATTAAACCAGCCAAATGCTCACAATGTGAAAGCTTCTGAGATCTCCAGATCTCTTCATTAGGCTAGATTATGCCTGATGAAGGGATCTCAAAAGCTTATGACTAGTTGGGTGACTTAATTAAAATATTACATTAATATGGGTTTTGGAATGAAGAACAGGATGGATCACTGATGAATTTGATGGCAGCAGAGAAACAATTAAGGTAAAATAAGCATGGTTCAAAAACAGTTTTATCAATGCAGTGGGTTTCAAAGAGACATAAAGGAGAAAGATAGAATTAATTTAACAGAGAAGGACTTTGTTGGTATAGGATTTATATTCTCACCTGTTGTAGCATAAATGTTTTTTAAAGTTTTTACTTAGAAAAAGTTTGTAAAATTCAGCCATTTCTTCTGCATTTAGCATTGCTTTCTGGCCTGAAAGAAAAATGCCATGTTCCTTATGTTAGAAAAACATCTTAATCATGCCAGTATATGCACTTAAAATTAAAGACCTTTTAAGATTTATATAGTACAACTCTATATTAGAGTTGTATTGGACTGGGTTAGAGTTAAGAATGTAGGACCGAGGACCTGGCTATGAAGTTCACGGGCTGTCTCTGGGCCAGTCCCTTACTCTCAGCCTAAATTACCTCACAATTTTGTTTCTGCGAGAATAAATGGAGCTATGTAAGCTCACAAGAGGAAAAATGCTGGGATATCAATGCAATGGGGTGGTGGTGGTGATGATGAGTTGGAGTTCAATTTGGCAGACAAAGAATCTAGTCACAGTTTTGCTTTGGACAAACCTTTATTTCTAGACCTGCTTTTCCTTTATACAAAAAGTGAACAACAGCAATCTTCTTTATGGGACTGCTATGCAAATGGTCACAATAAAAAATTTTAAGCACTTTGCAAACCTAAAGTACTGTCTAAATGATAAGCAACAGCACTTGTAGTAACTAGTTGAATTGAACAGCATTGTATTGAATCGAAAGACAATTCCCCCTTTTCTCAACTGAATAGCTGCTGATTTGCAGCACAAGCATGCCCCAAATATAATCTTCTCAGGCTTTTGCTATAGCTATATGATTTTCATTATAATTTTCTTGAACAAGAATTATCTGGTTCTGTACAGTCACTGCCAGAAAACTTGATACCTTTATTTCAGAAACATGGTTCCTGAAAAAGTTGCTGTTCACATCCTTCATGTGTAGCAAACAGATTCTCAAGATCAGGGAGACTATCAGGATATGGAGCATTAGCCAACCGATACCAAAAGCACCCAGGCCATTTTTAGCTAAAATCCCATACATATGTATTATTGCCCAGCACATATATGGTGTAAGAATTTGATAAACAGCATTTTGTAAGATGTAGGGCACAGTCCTATGTTCCCCCACAGTAGATAACAGTAATCACCTTGCATTTTATCTAAATGACTGCTTTCATAGATCCCAGTGTGGTGCCAGGGAAGGAGATTTAGCAACTGGCCTCCTCCCCCAGACATGCCCCTATCCCCATTCCCAAGGTCCAGTTGCAACTCTGGGTAGGGAGCAGCTATGAAGGTGCAAGGCATTGCTCAGACTCCAGAAAACCCTATGGTCTCACAGACAAGATTGTGCCCTTACAAGAGTTAATTAATCTGAATCTTCCTTTGAAGAAAGCACTCCACAATGCAGGACTAATGATCTAACCTGTTTCATCTCTCAGCTGCACGCCTTTGGCTCTCAATCTGGTGCAAAGAAATTCTTCTTTCTCCTGAAATACGATTGGGATTATTGTATTGTACAAGTTCTTAGCAAGTGCTTAGGCAATATTTAATATTATTATTAATACTTATTTTATTTCTATACTGCCCAATATCCCAAGTTCTTATACTTCATATTATTTTACTCTGCTTGCTCCAGTATTATATGTGTATCTTTTTTACCAGCGAAACATCATACAATTTATGGTTTTATGAACAATGATTATTTTGCTGCTATTTCTTCTTAAGAACTTCACAATAAAGGGACTATAAAGGTGTGCAAAGATGAAGGAAGAAGCTGGTGAGATGAGTTTCACCATCACTTTCCCCATCTGGAGCTGCTTCACTGAGGACAGACGGGGACGGTGCCCCTTCTTCCCTCACAGAGGCATTCCAGTTAACTGTTCTGGGAGCAAGAGAGGAGGAAGAAGCAAACTGTCAGCAGCTCTTTAAAAAAAATCCTCCCTGGCCTTTATTCTGTCATGTCTTCATTTAGATTATAAGCCTAAGGAGTGGGACTGTCATGCTACTAAACTCTGTAAACTGCACTGGAAGCCATTTTAGTACGAGGGCAGGGCACAAAGGCTGTAAGCAAATAAATACAAAGATCAGGCCTCAAAAGTCACATCATGTGTCAACATGAAAAATATTGCCAGCAGCACCAAGTGGTTTTATATTTCCTCTATATGCTCACCTTTCTAAAAGACATATTCTGGTTTGCCCAGAACTGTTGATTCCAAACCTGAGTTTCCTGCCGGAATTCTCGAAGTCTTTGCTCCAACTGAGATTCATTTTTAGGAATATGAAATATTATTGGTCGCAGGTTTGAACATCGATCAGGAGGACCAATCCAATCATGGCAAGAATGTGAAGGAGGACAAAAACCTGAAGCCTTAAAAAAGAAGGGAATATTAATTTAAATCACACTGATTTCAACATGTCTACTCTTGACTACAACTGGATCAAAACCACAGATATTAGATGGGTGATGATATGGACTATATAGGCCATGAAAACTTATACCAGAATAACTTTTGTTAGTATTTAAGATGCCACAAGACTGTTGTTTTTTCTACAACAGAATAATATAAGTACTCCTCTGGAAGGAAACTTAAACCTGGCTGTTATCTGTTATCTTGAAGCCATTGTTCTCCTGTTGCTATGATGTCACAGACTGCTCACAAGTATTCTAATAGTTTAGAGGAGAAAGACTTTATAGAATGTTGACAAACACAGCAGCTTATATAAAGGATGTGAAAAATTGCAACAGCTGGGAAATTATTCAAGAAGAGACATGGGGCAGAGTGACTGTATACTAGGAGGGATCAGACAGGGGCAATTAAAAATGTGGATACTGGCCACTGAGGAAGTTGTGTGAAAAGAGAGTCTAGAGAAGCACTGAGAAGGTAGTGGGCTAAAACAGGATACAGAAAAGACCTCAGGTGGAGACCTTAGGGGTAGAGCAACATAGAAAGGAGTTAGGAAAAGAAGCTGATGAGCAAGTACAATTCAGGTGGGGGAAAACATCTCTACTGTCTAGCAGAAGTAACAAGTTCGCTGTTGGCAAAAGAGCAGTTCCCAGGAAAACATAGGATGAATGTTCTATTTTGATTTGAAACACCCTTACTCTTGCATATTCTAGAGGCAACAAAGTCAGCCATTTCCCAGGATCCCAGGATAAGCAAAAGACTCCTCACCCCAACAGCACCACTCTTCTCACTCCACACAAAATAGTCAAGTTTATTGATTGAGTTTCAGTTTATTGACCCTAATCCAGTTCATCATCAAGCCCACTGATTCAGGACAGTTTATACTGCGAGTATCCTTGTTTCTTACATAGATGCAAGTTTAATCTATTAGAAATCCTCCTAATTCCCATAGGTTTTGAACTAAGAACAAGGAGAACTAAGAACAAGGAGACAAGTTCAAACCACCCACTCAGCTGTAAAGTTCCCCAAACTCTTGGGGAAGGGTCCATGCATAGCTTAACACGCAAGCACATGTGATCTGCACACAAAAAGATCTGCAGAAACTCCAAATAGGGATGCAAAGACTCTTGCCCTAAATGTTGGCAAGCCACAGTCAGTAAAGAGCAAGCAAGAGGTCCCATCAATTAAAACTTCCCACTGAAAGAACTTGGTCAAACCCTGTAAGATGGCTTACTACTTCCTACCTCACAGGGTTGTTCTGAAGCTAAAAAAGGGAAGCACAGAAATAAAACCATGAAAGCTCTCTTGAACTCCTGGACAAGGGCACAGCTATAATTGAAATAAAAGGAAGCAAATTTTGTGTAAAGCAGGCAGAGCAGCCATGGCCCCATGCATGTTTACACAGACATAAGACCTGCTATGTACAATAGATCTTATACTACCAAGTCGATATCCTGACACTGTGATTCAGTACCGCCAGGTTTCAGCAGTTATGTCAAAGAGAAGCAATTTGGTGCTTTCTCAATGTCTGGGACTACAATGTCAATCATTCCTAGGCTTCGGTGCTAAGGGACTGCGGGCATCGTTAGTTCAAGCTAATGAACGTGGTCTACACCATATTTCAATTTCCCTAACCTCCCTCCAGATGTACGGGACTACATCTCCCATGGCTGACCAATGTTGGGAGATGTAGTCCAACTTAACTGTAAGCCAGCAGCTGGGGTGGGGGGAGATGCTATAGAGAAGTCCCGCATTACCCGGCCTTCTGGGGACTGGGGTGCGCCCTCCCTCTCCGGCCCTTCAGCCCGCGAGAACCCCCCGCTGGACGAGGCAGGCGATGAGGAGCAGAAACAGGAACAGTTCCGCCATGACAACGCCGCGCGCCCGCGGCCCATTCTGACCACGGCCATCCTTGGCCTCGCCACGCGCATGCGCGAAATACAGCCCGCCTCCTTCGTTTTTTACTAGCTGGCTGCTACCGCTATCGTTGTTATTGTTGCTGCTCCTTTACGGCAACGTCGCGAAAGGAGGGGAGAAAACTTCATCTATGCTCGCATACTCGAAAGCTGGGGCGGCGAGAGAATAAGAGGCGAGTGCGCACGCGCAGCAGAGGGGGCTTGCTTCAGCCTTCCCCCCTTCGCCCGTAAGGGTAGTAAGAAGGAAGCCGGAAAGAGGGGCGACGAAGCGGATGAGTGAGCCGGCCGGTCGGTCTCCGTCCCCCTCCCTCCCCACGACCCGTAGCGGAGCGCGTAGCGAAGGCTGGCGCTGTGGCATGGCCCCTGCAGCAGGCGCAGCTCGGGAGTTGCCTTGTCTTGACAGCCTCATGCGGGTGCCTCATCCCTGAAAGGAGAGAAAACGATGTGGTGTCTGCACAGGTGAGGAGGGAAGAATAGCAAAGCCGGGTTGTCCGGGGGAGCTAATCTGAAATTAACCGACCAGTTTTAGGTTAGTGAGATTAAATGGCAGTATAGCCCTTTCGAGCGGCGCGCTCGGCGTGGGGTGAGCAGACAAGGGTGAAAAACGGTGAGGGGGCTGGCGAGAGAGCGTTGGGGTGGGTAGGAAGGGCTACTGCGAGGTTGTGGGGGTGGTAGGTCCTGGAGGGTGCGATTCCGAGGAGGGGAAAATGACGCCGGGATCATTGAAAGTTGGGATTAAAGGGGGGGCTGCTACGGTGAAGGGCGGCTGGAGGGCGTGGGGGCGAAAAAACAGGGAAGGGCTCAATCGGATACAGAGAGGTGGGGGCGTACGAGGGTGCCGAGCTGAGTCGGCCCCCACTTCTCTGAATATATGTGGACTGGCAGCTTTACGCCTAATAATCAGAAGACTCCCCAGGCACCCCCTCTCTCTTTGGTACCTTGCCTGGTGCTCAAATTATGGCTCTGCATGTTTCAAGTCCTGCAAGGAGGGTTGCTTGAAAGTGGGGAAAGCTCGAAGCGTGAGGACTGAGGTTGCTGGGAGGGTTGCATTTGGGTTGGGGTTCAAGATAATTAGGGGGAGAATTATGAGGCATAGAGAGGCGTGAGGCATCACTCCCCCATTTATTTATTTTATTTATAGCCTGCCTTTTTCCTTTCTAAGAATTTATATAATTACCCTCCTCATCACAGCAACAACCCTGTGAGGTACACTAAGCTAAGAATCTGTGCTGGCCCAAAATCACTTGTTTAACTTTATGGTTAAGTGGGGACTAGAGCTCAGATCTCCTGAAACTCCGTTCCCCCACTCCTAACCACCGCAGCACATTGGCTCTTGTCCGAGAACCCTCCCCTGAAGCAGAATAGTCAGCAAAATATCATGGCTTTGCCAGACGAAGACTAGATTCAGTCAACATGTAACTCACACTCAAGGGTTGAGTGCAAGTTGTTGAACAATGATTTATTGTTGAAAGAAGGGTTACTGTCTGAACCCACCTGCACTATATGCCATGTTTTGTGAACCACAAACAACCCATGAAATGAACCCATAGTTTGTTGGGTTGTTGGCCATGGTTGTGTTATTTTAACTGCATTGAGACAACATGATCAATCATGTTTCAATGAGCCAGTGTCATGCAGTGCTGAACTTGACAGTTTGGAGATCTAGTCCTCACTCGCCATGCAGTTCACTTTGGGCCAGCCCTACCTCATAGGGGTGTTATGGGGATAAAACCTCCCTTGGGGTTCCTTGCGAGGGCAAAGGGTGAGACATAAGAATAAATCAATAATCCACACTTAACCCTGGGTTACCATGTTATCTGAACCCAGTCGAGAAGTCCATCAGGAATCGTGGAAGGAGGCTGCCGCCGCCGCCATCCCATGGCCATCCTCCATCGGGGCTAGCTTCTGAGCAGACATGCCCAGGGAGCTGGTCTCCCTGCGGGTTGCATACGTGCACGCAGGCTACGGGGCCGGTGCTGCAAGGTTTGTAGGGTGCAGCGAGAGCGCAGCGCCGATGGAAATGGGTGGGAGGCAGGGGGCGAAGCGCAGACTCCGGGAGGGCTCCCGGCAGGCCCGCAGCGCGGGGGAAAGGCCTAACGGGATTCGCCGCCGTGGGCCCGAGGAATGAGGGCGGCGCGAGCGGGAATCCCTGGTACTGTCTTGGAAGGGGCACGTGGGAGGGGGCCGGCCGGGCGGGGGCGGCGGCGGAACGAGCCTGCCTTCTCGCGGTCTCCCCGGCCCGCCGCCCTTCGCGCCCCGCCCCTTGCAGTGTCCGGAGAAGTGTCGGTCAGGGCGGAATTAGATTGTTCGGCATTGTGAAGTCACCGGGGGGCAAAGGGGGGGCGGGCAGGCGGGGAGGGAGACGGCTCGCGCGCTGCGCCTGGGGGAAGCGGCCCGAGCTCGGGGCTGATTCCCGGCTTCCTTCCTACAGGGATGTAGGCTTGCTAGAGGGGGCGGGGGTCAAGCTCTGTGCACCGGGTCTCGCTTCCCCCAAGGGGCTTCTCGCTGCGGTAAGGAGAGGGCGGGCGTTGCGGGGCGGGGCCCAGCCCAGGGCAGGGGAGGGGAGGTGCTGGCGGGAGGGCCGCCCGTGGGATGGGTGGCACTTGGGGAAGGGGCAGCGTGCCTGCTGCTGAGAGGCTGGTGGCTGCCTTGTGGAATGAAGAAGCTGCAAGGCTGGCATTCACTGGATGCAACTGGAAAGTACGAGCCAGGGACTGAGCATCGGTTATCGCCCTATAGGTATCGCTGGTATGACCAGAACAAGTGTCCGCTGTTCATGTGTGTGTGAGAGAGAGGGAGGTACCTTATATTTGTACTTGCTCAGCTGTTGTCATTTTCTTGGCACCCGAAGTGTAATGAGCTGGCAAGCAGATGGAAATATTAGCTTTGATTTTCTTCATGAGTGCATCAGACGCTTTGTTCTGCCATTCCTGTAATGCCTGGAGGTGGTAAGAGGAGCACTTTGCTTAGTGTGGATAATTATGATTGCTGTCTTACCTGGGAGAAGGACTCACTGTTTGGCTATTAAGTGGAATACAAATATAATAATACATTATATATATAGCATATTTTCCCCTCTTGTGAGGAGCCAAAGACAATCTGCATGGTCTACCTCTTCATTTTATCCTCCCAAGATCCCTGGGAGGTGGAATAGGCTTAGAGTCTATGGCTGACCCAAAGTTATCCAGTGAGTTTCATGGCCAGGTAGGGACTAGAACCCTGATTTCTGGAATCCCAGTCCAACACTCAAGCCATTACCTCACATTGCTGCTACTCAGATAACATGCATAGGCTCAGGCTGTTAGTGTGGGTCATTAAAAAAATGTAGCACCTTTTAAAAATGTAGCATTCCCAAAAAGGTATAGAGTTGCTATACCTTTAAAAAAACAATTTCTAACTCCAGTGGAACATCTCTAATGTAAATCTTTTGTTACTTGCAGAAAGGAATTTTGAAGACCGTATGGGTTTAAAAAAAATCAAAAGACAACTTAGAACAGAAAATTCAAATTTTAGAAATATTCTTTAGCAATCAGTCATGATATTTGATTGTATCTTTGCATTATTTATAGCTTTGTTGGAACTGGATGAAGAAAAAGAATGGATATGGGTAACCAACATCCTTCCATCAAAAGACTGCAAGAAATACAGAAAGAAGTCAAAGAATTTGAATCACAAGTAGTAGCATTCAGTGGTTTGTCCAGTGACAGAGCTTACAAGAAATTAGAGAGAGCTTTGACTAAACAACTTTTTGAAATAGATTCGGTTGATGCAGAAGGCAAAGGTGATGTTCAACAAGCCAGGAAACGGGCTGCCCAGGAAACTGAGAGACTTCTTAAGGAACTTGAGCAGAATGCAAACCATCCCCGAAGGCTGGAGATAGAGTCCATTTTCAATGAAGCACAAATTTTGGTGGAACAAGAAATCACAGCATTTTACAAAGGAGGCAGTTGTATAACTGAAGAATTTGAAGAAGGCATTCAGGATGTCATCTTTAGGCTCACTCAGGTGAAAACTGGAGGGAAAATCTCTCTACGGAAAGCCAGGTATCGCACTCTGACCAAAGTGTGTGCAGTTCAAGAGATCATAGACAGTTGTACAAAGCAACAACCTTCCCTGCCTTTGTCCAGTGATGCACATCCCTCTGTCTCCAAGATTAATTCTGTTATGTGTGATGTGAATAAAGCAAAAGGGACCCTCATTGCTGTTTTAATGGGAGTAAACAACAATGAGACCTGTAGACATTTATCCTGTGTGCTCACAGGCCTAATTGCTGATCTGGATGCCTTAGATGTCTGTGGTCGCCCAGAAATAAGAAACTATCGTAAAGAAGTTGTGGAAGAGATCAATAGATTGCAGAAATACCTGGATCTTGAAGAAGAAGCTGATACGACATACGCTTATGACTTGGCACAAAATAGGTGCATTGTAAAAATAGAAGAAATCCGCAAGAAAATGAAAGAGGTTCATGCATCTCTTTTAAAAGTTGAGAAAGCTTCAGATTTGTATCAGAGGTCAAAGGTGGAGCTGCAGGGGTTAATTGCCCAATTGGATGAAGTGAGTCCAGGCAAAAATCCATGTATTCGAGAAGCCAGGAGACGAGCTGTGATAGAAGTACAAACTCTTATAACATATATTGATTTAAAGGAGGCACTTGCCGAAAGACAAAACTTTGTGGAACAAACAGAAGCAGAACCTCCATCTCACAAGGCCGTTTGGAATATTCTTGGAAATGTGTCCCAAATTCAGCAAGAGGTACTTTCTTTTGATGGGAACAGAACTGATAAGAACTACATGAGACTGGAGGAGCTTCTCACAAAACAGCTTCTAGCACTTGATGCTATAGACCCTCAAGGTGATGAGCGCTCAAAAGTAGCCAGGAAACAGGCAGTGAAGCTTGCGCAGAATATCCTGTACTACTTAGATATGAAAACAGATGAATGGGAATACTAAAACACAGGTCTTGTGTCTGATGTTGCCCTCTCTCTTGCACTTTATGCTAACCAACATCCCACCAACCCAACACTAAAAGTTGCTCATCTCTTAAGAGGCAGAGTAAATGTTGGACTGGGCTATGCAGCAGCTGCCTCATGCTGTCACAGCATGAGAGTAGTCCATATGCCATTTGTTTTACAGTTTTTGTCACAAGCCATCGTTTTCCTGGAAAAAAGCTCACACGATTTATGACAAAGACCTTCAGAACTGCCCAACTTCATCATTTGGCCAAAGCATGCTATATAGAATTATTCTGAGAGAGAATGCAGTCTTTCAGGAGTTTTCTTAAGCCAGTCAGGGTGCTGCTAAGGAGCAGAAGATCGGAGTTAATGTCTGTTACCCTTATACCAGCATAGATGTTGCAGTTGTCTGATAAAGCACAGTTACAATGCAAAGGATTAAATGAAACTTATTCATGGCCTTTTTGTGCATTTGATTTAGTCTTGCTGATCTTTCATCTAAGGCTTGGCTCTGTTATATACAGTTCTAATACTTTGAGCCTATTATAAAGTATTGTGTAGCAACTGCTTTGGGATAGTCATATACTATAGGTCACAGACACTACAGGCTGCATACCCTGATTCACACTATGGATTTCCATAGGATTGCTTCAGAGTCGTGAGCTCTGTAACTACAGTGATTCAGGATCATGTCATTCTAAAAGAAGTTCTCATTTATTTATTGGAGTTACATTGAAATGTTTTCAAAATTGGAATTTTTAGAGATTGAAGTCAGCATAAGCTGAAAAAACAGATTCTATTTGAACAATCCTAAATTCTTCAAAACCACGAAATCCCCGAACTGGGCCCCTAATGGCTGTGAAGGTGCTTTACTCTAATTCTCTGATGTCTAAAATCACTTGCTTCTTGATAGACATTGGGCAGCTTGTCTGTATATATATGCATTTTTCTGAATCAAATGCAAAATGATTGCTTCTTTTGAAGTTAGGTTTTTTTGAGCTCTTTCCATGACCTGTGAAAATACTCTTAGTGATGCACAGTGGCAACCTGTGTATGCCTTAGATGTGCTTAATCCATTCTTGCACATTTTTCAGTCTTTCAAGCAATCAGAATGGCAAATGCTTCAGAATGTTTCTAGTTTTAAGTGAGGCATAGCTGTCTGTTGTGCTAGCTGTCTTGAGTAGGTTGCATGTATTGTTTCTCGGTGTAAGAGAAAGTGTCTTGTTGGGTGTGTTGTTTTTTCTCCTTTTCCTCATCCTGGGTGGAGCTGAACAGCTGTCTCAGTATACTCTTAATTGCACTGAATGTAAGGCCAGTGTAGGCTGCGCTCTTCCATGTTGCTTGCTGATTCAGGAAGGTAGAAACCAGCATCAATCATAGCTTTCCAGAATGCGTCAATAGTGGCATGCAGAATTTGGCAGTAGATAGAAACAAATCATAAAAGGTAAATTGGCATTTTTCACCCATTTTCTGTACTCAAAATTACTGGTTTGTAGAGCACTATTTCTTTGAGATGGCTTTATAAATGCAGTCCATTACTGATACTGCCTTTCTGTCTGTAAATTTGATGTATTTCATGATTAAAATAAGTAAGGCTGTCCCTAGAAAACAAGTGCCTTCCAAACGACACTTTAATTCAAAGCACCTTGATTTCATGGTGCTTTCTAGTGAAGTGTCTTCTGTATCCTCTGGTTTGCTTTTACCCTTCAGCTCTAATATGGATAAAAAGGCGCTACCATATTTGCAGGTGCATACTGGTATATGAGTAACCAACTAAGAGTCTGGATGGTTGAGCTTAAGACATGATTGAGGAGGGAGGGGGAAAATAAGCCACAGTAGTTCAGTTTCCCTGCTGAACCTGCTTGGGGGATCAGCATAATCGCCTTTGCCAACGTGGCTTCTAGTGTCATGTGAAACTAGCGAAGGTGGCTTGTTGGCATGGTTAACAAGCTAAATGGTTTGCTAACCACAGCAGTAAGCCACCCTTCCCAGGTTTGCATGAAACAGCGAGGTGCAAAGATGAGCGTAACTGCGAATTCTCTGGCATGCAAGTGGCATGCATGAAGCAGGGGAAAGTAAGTGACTTATTTCTCCTGACGTGATTGTGCAAATCTGGACACAAAGTGAGGAAGTGATTTCTGCTCTTGGCTTGGACCCAGTGGCCCAGTATGTAGTCCTGGCCCAATTCTTTGATTTCCTCTGTACCTAATTTCTTTCATGTGGAAGAAAGGGGTGGTAGCATCTCCATTTGCACTTTAAAGAGACTTTTGAGGTCGCTGGACAAAGAATTTAAATTTGATATATTTTTTGTTCAGTATGGATAACTGCTTCGCAAACCTTTTGTCAAGGAAAATTATGATTTTAGTGTTAATTTAGGCTAATTACATCCCCTTGCTGAGTGTTGATTTTCTTGAATGCATCATTAATGTCTTTTTTCTTGTAAGAGTAAAGGAAAATATTTCTTCAACCTGCTTGTATTTTTCTAGTTTATGTTCTTAATGAACAGACTAGCATCTATAATTAGAATATTTTCACTTTCAGGAAGGGCTCTTATTTCAGATGTGAAGACTTTGATCCAGTCTTCTGTGTGTGTGCCTGTAGAGTTCTTGTGTGATTTGGATTTCCCATTGAATTAATTTTCAAGGCTAGTCTGCATGCATAGTTCTTCCAATCTATTTTGTATGCATAATATGCCATACAAAATTTCCCTGACTTCAAACTCCGTAGGAAAACCATTGCTTACATGAGCACTTGATATGGATGTTGGAGTTCTCACAATATGTAAGGAACTCCTAGTTCAGACTGTTCATCCAACATGTATTATCTGAGGTGGCAACTAAACAATTGTGAGTATCTGTGACCCATTCAGGAAAGGTTCTTCAAGTGGAGCTTCTTGTGCATAATAAAGGGTAGAAATCTCCCTCCCTCCCCTGTTCAGTGCTCTGCACTTTCCAGAATCAGAATTGGGGACCCTAGGAATGTTGTAGGTGCAGCAAAACAACGGGTGAATTCCAAAACTGTATTCTTTCCTTCTTCCATTCATGGAAGCCTCTACTGGACCAGAGAACCCTTTGTGAGCAGTTGAATACAAATTAATGTTATGTTTTGGTAGCAGATTCATAGGCTTGGATCCTAACTAATGTTCCAGGAGTGTCCCCTCAGTGGAGTTCCTCTCACAAGATGCTGCCACTAGTGAAGTGGAGAGGTAATTTTTGCTGGTCCTTCTTCACTGTAGGCTTGTTCCCATTAAAATCTGCTTGAGAAGGTGGGAGAACATGCCGTGGGTGATGGTGGTATAGGGACTGCAGAGGGGAGAGGCAGTCTGTAAAAATTACATTCCCCTCCTTCCGCCCGTAGAAGCTTCTACGGGATTGGAGTTTGCTGAGTGCAGAAGCAGTGCCCGCATCCATGCACCATCCGTTCAGATTCAGAGCATAGCACTTCATCTCCCCTTCTCCCAGTTATTTTGTTTTTCAATTGTACTTTTAAAAATATCCTAGTAATACTACTGTTTATTAAACTGTAGATGTAAATTCCCACTATATTTGGGGCATTCTTGAGGTTTGTTTCTTACAGTTTTGTATAGCCTGTTAGAACTGTGGATCTAATGCAGGAATGCTTAACAATAAAAATTAGATACTGAAATAGCAGCATAACTTTCCATTTTCCTTTTTAAAAAAAACTCTATAAATTTAAATAGTGAGATCTTTGTTAGAGTATTATAAATTATTTTCTGCATGAATAAACATGAACTAAATAAGCTAAACCAAAAAGATTATCATATGTGGATTTTAACTAATCCTTGTTTTATGCGTTTCAGAATGTACTTTTTCTACTTAATATGCAAACAGTCTAGGAAACAGGCTTTTTCCATTGTGGGTGGGCTAAAAATGTTTTCTGCAATTGAATTTCTCAATATTGAACCAGCTCAAGAGTCCGTGTTTTGTTAAAGGCTTTTCTGTGTGTGGTGCCATGACATTGTACTACAAGAAACAAATGGATGTAATTTTGCTGTATCTTTAAGCATATTTTCATATTTTTCTGAATTATGATTGTATTGCATTAGGAGCAGTGTTGAACCAAGCGATCTTATTCTGATATTTTTGCCAGCAACTATGAGTATCTTTCTGATGATCGATTGGGATTTAACTATCTTTTGCTTTGATTGGCAAGCTTTCTTTAAATGCCATTGCTCTGAGGTACTGACTGTGGTGTTTATTTCTTTCAGAATGTAATGGACATGTTAAACCTTGTATGGTTCCTGCGTTGTAGAACATGTGTGTCAGTTCACTTTTATGTATAGAGTTGATTTGGTGTGTACAAATTCAGAAGTCAGATATTCTTAATAAAGCATTTTGATGCTTTCTCTTTGATCATTCATTTCAGACTAAGGTATCTTCTTTTGTGATACCTGGAGTATTCACTTATCCATTTCCAAATGTGGTTATCTCTGTACCAGACAAAATAAGTCCATATCACTCAGCTGTTAGAATGATAAGAGACAGGTGCCTCCTCTTTTTAATGAGGAATAAAATTGTAGTAACAAATGCAGCATCACTAGGAGAATGAAATGCCACAATTCAGTGCAAACTTAGTATTTTCTGGTTTGCAACATCTAAGAACATCTTAGCCTGGCAAACCAAAATGTATCATAGCAAATTACTAGGCAGTTCTGTCCTGTCTAGCTGAAAGCAAGTCACTGACCTCAGTGCAACTGACTACAAAGTGAGCATACGCAGGGTTGCAGATTTGACTTCTAAGCCACACACTACATGCCTTTGGGTGTAACTGAACCCCATGAGTCATTTTGCACTTAGAAAAAGAAACTTCCAGAGAGGTTATCCAGTTGAAGTGGGGATGGAGCATGGACAATCCGTAACCCATGTGCCATTTTGCGCCAAATCCTAACCCCCACTTCTGCTGCTTTTATTCCCCTGCATGGGGCAAATTTGGCATGTGATTCACAGAAAGTAGATGCATACTGGAGAGATTGTTCGAAATAACACTGTCATAAAATACCGAGTTCTCCATGCTGGAAAATGTGCTTGTCTGGAAGTTGAACCCTGTGAACTGGAAGACATAATCCCAGATGGGTGAGGGCTGGCTATGGTTACTTAATGTGATGCATGCACTTTATGCATGCTCAAGGACGGACTAGGGCTGAATTGCAGCTCTCAAAATAGATTCTGGGGCCAATCCCTAGATGCAACTTTTTCTGGAGCATCAGTTCTGGACCCTGTGCACAATATAACAGGCTATTTTGCTTGCTGCTGTGATATGCCTATACCTCAGTTTCTCTCTAGCCCTAGTTTCCAAGCTGTTCCTCAAGATGAGAAAATTTTAAAATAGGAGCACGAGGTCCTTTTATAATACAGTTTTTGCTCCAATTTTGTCAAGCTTCTGTCTTGGCGAAGCTCCTTAAGAGAATCTTTCTTGCAAGAATCTAGTCAGCAAATCTATCAAGAGCAAAGCATAACTCACAGCTGTATCCTTATTAAAATTTGCCAAGCATCCAATTATTTATAGGCTGATTTAATAAAGAAGAAAGGTGATCAAGCTACCTGTTAGCATATAACTTGCTTGCATTCATGCTAGTTTATACAGGTGTCTCCTGACAAGGCAAGAAATGAGCTTAGCAAACCAGTATGTGGCTAGTGACCTTTCAGGAAAAGCTGGAAATCATAAAGGAGTGGGATGGAAAGTGGAAACTGTACAAGTGGAAACAAAATGGGGTATCTTAATGTATGCCTGAAGACGCTTCTAGCAGTGTGAGAATAAAAAATGAGGAGATCTGTTGAATTACTTATTTTTTTAATCCATTCACAAACTGGCAGCCATTGGTGATGCCTTTGCATATGCCCTTGTTCTGGTAGTACATCTGTTCTACCTTCCAGATGGTATAATAGATACAATGTTTTGGGCAGGTATGACAGGTCACAGCAGGACATGGAGGTAAAGGAACCTGTCAAAGTGTTAACAAGCTATATGTGACCTTAGAAAATAAGGGAGGTCTGTCCAAATGTTGAATCACCACTGTGGTGACCAAGACTCTTCATAGATGAGCTGCTGAATTCTGTTCCTGCAAAAAGCTGAAGAACTGCCTCCAAGGGTAAGCTTGCAACTCAACCTGAATAACTTGCCTTTTATTGGATTCCCCAGCCACCATCCCATAAGTCTGCCTGCTACAGGTAGTCGTCCTTTCTACTCCACGAAGCAAAAGCCATTCTCTCTGTTCTATAGGACTCTTTCATCTCTTGCCACTGCCTGTAGCAATTTCTTCATAATATAAAGTGTGCTGAGCTATGTGTCAGCTCATGTTTGGTTTGTTCTCTGATGCTATACTTTTAAAAATCCTCTGTTGGGTTTGAATTTTCCTCCCTTAATTCCTGAGGGGATAGTATTGCATGATTCCGGTGTTAGGTCAGCAAATTTGTGCTATTATGTTTGTTTACAGCAGGTACAGGGTAAAATTCATCTACATGGGAAGTAATGAGATTTGGACATGATCTTGGTCTAACCTTATGCCCCAGTGCTAGTGCCAACTTTCTGCATATGTACCAACAGTATTTGATGAAGAGTGTAATGCTGCCTCAAGAGAGGTGCTGCTTGGCACAGGACCAAGCAGTCCACATTGACAGTAACTGGGATCTATTGTGCTAAAAGCCGACTGCACGAAAAGACCCATCTGCAAAAGGGCAATATGAATGGTGTGTCAAACACAGGTTCCTGGAGGGGCTGTACCTCTGTGTGACAGGCTGGCATGCAGCAAGTCCCAGTTCCATCCCCAACATCTCCTGGTAGACCTGGGAAAGAATCCCACCTAAGACACAGGAAGGCTGCTGCCCTCGGTGTGGCACGAAGCTGGACTAGATGCACCAATGGTCTGACCTCAGTAGAAGGCAGTACCCTGTGTTTCTCATGCACTCAACACCTCCTGCATTAACTTGTCATACATCTCTTGTTCATGTCTAAGTTGCCCTTCAGTATAAATAGCACTCGGGCCCATTCATGCACTAAAACCAATCAACAGAAGAAGCCAAAACATCCCTGAATTAAGCTAGTAGAATGAGAAGACATTCAAAAAACCCACCACAACTTAGTGATTACAATTCTGGGAAACTAGAAAAAGAAATTTTGTTCATGTGGTAGTTGCTGTGCCATGGATACGTATAAGAAAATATCCATTCAAGTATTTCTTTGTTTCTTGGGTGTCGCCTGCCTGTCACCAAAACTCTCTCCCTGCACTGCCTGACTCAGATAGCAGAACTGAGCCAAACTGGGAGAAGCGAGTGGGCAGGGAATGTTTGGCTCACTTGCTAACCCTTTGGATAGAATTAGACATCCTCACCTCCCACTGTGTAGTATTAACTATTATTAATTGCATTTCTGCATCTCCCATAGCTGAAGCTCTCTGGGTGGTTTGGAACATTTAAGCTACCCATCCAGATTTCAGCCAGGCCCAGCCCTGCTTAGCTTCCAAGATGAGGCAGGATCAGGCACTTCAACTTTGTGAGTAGGGTAGAAAGTTGTTTGGATTTTGTGCTACAAGGAAGCTCAAACCCTCTGTTTCCCATCTGCAGCTACCTGAGAAGAAAAGCAGTAGGTTCTTTCCTCCCCTCCACCACGATGAAGGCCTGGCTGGTTGCTTTGCTGCCTGGCATTTGGCATTCCACCGTTCTGGAATCTGCTTCAGTGCAGTTATTTTTGTCTGGGCTGGAGAGCCCTTTTCTCCTAATGTGGAAGTGACTGCTTTCTTTAGAACAATTGAGCTCTCCTTTATGCTATTGCCCGTTCCCATTTTCCTCTCAACTCCCTGTTCTCCTGGGATATGTTCCATTTCTAGAGCGCACAGATCCACTTTCTACAGAAAGCACCGGTTTCCTTCTTTAATCAGGACTGGACTGTTTTGGAGCCATAATCTGTTTGCCAGCTGTTCCTGGAAAAATGCCTGGATCTACATGAACTATAGAATTAACAAATATCTTGAATTCCATTCACCAAGTCATAGTTGATTCTCTCAGGTCCTTTCACTGCAGTCCCAAATTCACTTATGGAAAAAACTGTCACATGTGTTTTGAGAAGATGTAGCATTTCCACTTGAGTCGTGCATTATATAGAGTACTAAGGGACAGCAAGCAGGGATTTCTCCCTCCTATGGAGTCTTGTAGCCAATGTAGTTAGCACTGATATAAAGCACTCTTATGGCACCCAAAAGGCCAATTATGTTTATACGCACAATGTATCTAACTACAGAATCATTAATCTATATGATACTGATAAAATCATGTACCCACTGGCCTCAGAGCTCAGTGAGATTACTTCTGAGCACACAGATCAAGGATTGGGTTGTGAAACTTGTTCTTCATCCCTGTTCAATGAACATGGGAATATGAGATTTGCAGGCCTCCCTTGCAATTAGTAAGTACAACAATCATTTGCAGGTAGCTTTGGCTGAATTTTCATGCGTAGCACTGGATGGGATGAGAGAAGCAAAGGCCAAAATAACTAGCTAGATTGCGGCTTGTGGTGGGAACTGTTATAGGAGACTTTGGAGTAAAGCAGTTTAAAATAGTGGAACTGGCTCTAGGGTGACCAAGTGCACTGGGAGTTATGGGATCACATACCGTTCAATGGCTATATAGAAAAGCAGCTTTTGAACATAAATCCGTAAGAGGCAGATGTAGCTGAAGGGACCTCAAAGCCATCCTTCTGTGAAAGATAACCCTATGTAATTGGACTGTGATGCAGAGACTGGCTGCAGAGTAGAAAGGAATTCACAGATCAAATGCCTCTTGGTGAAGTGAACAAGCAAGCTAACATGCTGCAGGGATAAAGGAAAAGACTTTGAGAGCTACTAGCCAATCTGACCTGGAAGAAATTTCCTTTCCAGCTCAAAATGATGGTACATCTGAATCTGAGAGTCAATGAAAGCTCTTCACCAAACCTGATGCAAAACAATACTCACAGAAAATTACTAGCTGAATGCTAGCAATGTTTAACGTTGCTGAATGCAGATGGTTCCTGAAAATGGTTTGTAAAATTGTCAAGCTTTTCTGGTTATATCAAAGGCTGGAGAAATGCTGAGAATGATAGAACTACTTTCTGTCTAAACATGCCTTGCATTGCACCTTCAGTATCTTTCCAAGCAATTAAACAAAAAGCTGCTTTGTTGTGGGATTCAAATGTTTCCCCAGTTAACACATATTTGGGCAGGGATATTACCTCCCCACATCACACGTACTCAAAGAAGTTGCTGAGGAATTCTCACCTTGCCCAGAGCAAGGAAATAGGCTGTGATAGGATGTGAAGATGGTAGCATGAACTGTGGGTTGCTAATGGATTGTGCCTATGACATCACTGGATA